TAAAAGGATTAAGGATGCTAGGATAGTATTATTTCTGCTATTACTATTAACGATCGTCAGTCATCATAATTATCCACTTACTTAATTTATTAAATAATGTTCTATTGTTTTATGTAATTAAAGCATTTCTATTATTGATCTACATAATCTATCATAATACGATTATTTTTACAATATAAGATTTACTTTTTTTATAAAAATAGATCATTAAAGTTATATTAAATAAGATATGATGATAAATATCAAGTAGAAAATTGATATAATATAAACTTAAATACTATATAGTTTTTACTATTATTTTTATAACTACAGTATAAATGGTTTAGCACCAGACAATTTAAAATATCTACAGCCTTTATTTTAATATTTTATTAATTAGCTACAGATTTTTATCTAGATAAAATCTAATAGCGAAAGAAATCTATGGTGTAAGTTTATGATAGATGAATTTCCTAAACTAAGTAAAATGGAATAATTCATCTCTAATATTTGATATTTTAAGTCTTGCTATAGTTGATCAATACTTATACTAATCAAAGGTCACTATCAATTCAAACATAATAATTAGAATAATTATAATAATATTACTTATACTTTACTTCAAAAGTACAATATAAATATTTTATTCACTAATTATAGTATTAAATAATTTGTTTATTTATTAAATAGTATTATTGATACATGTGAAATTGAAAATAGGATTTATTTTTATAGCTATGCTAGTTTTTTAGAATCACACAACAATACTTAACTAAATTAACAGTAACAGCTTTTTAGTTCATCATTTAAACTAATGATTATCGATTATTTACTAAAAGATTTATTAATTTTGTTTAATCCAAACCTAATAGTTTTATCATCACAACAAAAGATAAAAAAATATATTATATCCCATATTGTTTACAAAGAGTTCAATAAATTATTTTATTGCTTACAAAACTTTTATGTTAATTTAAGATTTGAATTTATTTCATCATCCATTATTTGAATTAATATATTTGTTTTTCTCAACAACTACAACAATTAAGTTTTTGTTTATTAAACATTTAACATAAATGTAACAATTTTATAAATATATTAGAAATTTATGTAAATTGTAAAGGTTGTAAATTACAGATATTAACAAAGCTCTTGATTTAGAAAAAATAAAGATTAAGATTATGATAAAATCATTTTATTACCTAAATACTATCTAGAAAGGATAGGATATATGACCTAAAAAATAATTAAATCTAAGTGCTATTGAATATATATCCTCGAGATTATGTTTGAAAAATGAAATTAACAACACAAAATAAAAGAATAATTATCATAAATAATTAAATGTTAAAATCCTAATAATATTGGTGAAAGAATTAACAAATTTGAAAAGCCAATTAGTATTAGTATCTAATTAATAAATAATATTAAAATAATTTACTTTTTGATGATTTAAACTTAAACAAATACGAATCTAAAGTTATAGTTCAATGGTTTGAGATTAAAATAAAAAGTATGCAAAGTAATTGTAACATTGTTTCGTTTGGGGAATGATACTATATATAGGTTGTATATGAAGGTTATCTATTGATTTTAGTAAGAAAATTAAGAAATCAATTAGGGCACAAAAACAAAGATAGATCAAGGTGGTAAGATTATTATAGAGCTAAAGGTTTTGAAAGTTTTGTTATCTCCTTATATCTTAATAACCTAAGAAAGGCAACATAAGTTATGGTCACCGATAAATACTAAGCTAAAGAGAATTGAGGACTAGTGTAAAGACATTAGAAGCTGAATCTTTTTTATTAAAGAATTGGCAATAACAATTAGAGAAAATATTTTTCAAATACTAAAAGTTGCATTCAAACGAAATAATTTATTTAGTGTATTATTGCTAAAAGACTTTTTTAAAATATGAAAACTGAATATATAGCAAAATATTTGCAATATCCAAATATTCATCAATACTGAGTAAATCAAAAATCTTTTTGATTATGGATTATCAAAATGCTATCCACTTTTTGTTAGATTCTCTCGTTGATGGTTTGATCATATATTTTAGAGAAGCAACGAGAGGTTCCTGTTGAAAAATTTTCGCGTATCTGCTTTATTTTTTTATTTCAATAAACCATTATTATAAATTAAATCTGTGATCTCTCTTACATAAGTTCAATCTAGAAATATATGTTTTCAAATTTCTAAAATATAAAATTAAATTAATATATATTATTAGTAATTTAATAAATTTGTATAAGATTAAAAGAAATCAAGAACAATATTAAGAAATCTGAATTATAGTAAACTAATACAACTTTAGATACTTGTGTTATTATAAATATTTGATTGCTTATGAAATATGATAATATAATTACTGTAATTCAATTGGCATAATTTTCTAATTAATTTCATTTAATGGAATCATGCATTTTTATTGCTAACATGACCAAGAATAGCAAATCTAGTAGTGAAATCAGCCATAGTTGCATGATAAGCATTTTAAGCTAATTTAATTTTGTAATCTAGCAGCTAACACTCTGCTATTACTATTACAGACTTTAATAAACATATTATAATAATCATTTTTAGATCAAATTCAGGAACTAAACATATGATTAAACATCTAAATGCTAATGAAGCATTCAATGCTAAAAATTCTTTGACTTCCCCATAACCTAAATATTTTAACTGAATAATTTATAGAATGAGTGACTTAATATGCTACTTTTAATCAATTTTGAGCTTCCTTTGTTATATAAATTAAATAAAATTAATACTAGCAAAAAAGGTTTAAATCTAAAAAGTGTTTTTCAATAATTTGAATTTATTTTTTATGCTTTTAAGGATTAAAACAATACTAATGTTTAGATTTCTTTCTTTATAATAGAGTGTAATTATTTAGCACTCTTCCTAAAACACAATCCACCAATCAAATATACTTTATTGATTCCTTGTTATCTAATTTATCAATAATCATTTCTCCGTCAAATTTAAATCTGTCTGTTCCAAAAATAACACCCTCCTTAATGATAAATTATCTTCTCTTATTTTAGATCTAGTTTAATCCAATTCTGATAATAATCAACTTACTAAGGCTATTCCAGTTTTTTCTTCATCAAAACTGAATAATAGATGTATTCTAAACAGATCTTAACCATCTCTTTGCCCTTGAAAATAAATTATTTGATCATAAAAATTAGGGTGTACTAATTTATAGGATCACAAAAGATATCATAATCAGGATTACAAAACGCAGTCTCATTTAGAAAACTTTTACATTTCTATAATTTGAATTACAAAGTTGGATTTACATTCCAAGGTAATACTTCTATTTTGAAATCATAAGTAAAATTAGAAACTCTTTCTCTCTCATGTATAATAATATTTATATAATTGTTATTAAAAAAAATGAATTGATAAAAAATTAATATTAGAATGAATTTCTTCTTATTTTTTAAATCCTTGAAAACATCATTTTGTTATTAATATTATTTTCTTTAATGGATCTTTTAATGAATAAAATGTAATCGATTTTATAAAAAGCAGGAGTAAAAAAATCAAGCATTCATTCATAAAATTTAATGGTAGTGCAATAAAATAATGAGAATTTTAACAAAATTATAGAAACAGAGGCAGAAAAAAGGTGATATACAAGTATGATGGGTAGTAAAATGAAATTATTTCATCAGAGTCCAGTAAAATTAATGTAGTTTAATCAGATAAATCATTGAATTCAGATTTAAAATATCATCGAGTAGGTTTATAAAATTAAAGCAATCAAATGCATATTCTGATTCATATTCTAAGCCTATTAATTAGACTCATATAAGAATCTAAATGGGAAATTAATATATTCTTCTTTGTGAATGTTGTATTATTCCCATTCATAGTCAATCTATCTGTTAGATAAATCAAAATTTTAATATGTATTTTCATATTAAGTACCTAATATATTTAAGTATAAGACTTAATGTAAAATTATGGCAACATAAATTAATTCATCAATTATTTTTTTATTATTTATAACTATTATGCAAACTTAGAATTTATTTATTTATTTTAATTAGCATAAATTATAAAAATCTAATTTTTGAACTAGTTTTAGAAGAACTTATAATTCATTTTATTCAAGATTTTAAACAATCTCCATAAAAATCTACTTATTTAAATAATTTTCATTTCTTTTATAGCTATAGATACCCATTAATAAATCTTAACAATCTCTACTTGATGATAAATCAATTAGTTAGACTCTTTAATTAATAATTAGTTATTTTTATTTTAATTGTTTTTTTTCATTTTTTGTCTGATGATTTATAATTCTTGAAAACACGATTTATACTATTTTCAATATTTAGTATTGTGTCTTAATTGGTAAGTGCTTGAATATTCGATAGTTTGATCTTCATTATTATAAATTCAATATCCAAACAGATGAATTAGTGGTGAAAATTATTCCAAAGTATTTCTTATCAAAATAAACATATAAGAGCTTTACTTAAAAATTTGGAATGAAATAATTTTTATATCTAAAACTATAATTTAGATATAAGTACAATAGAGGAATAATAGATTTATTATCTAGCCATTGAAAGATCATCTCTTGTCTTTAAATGATTATTTAATAATCTCTATTTAAGGAAGATAATCAAAAGATGAAATCGCAATAAGAAAACCTACTTAATATTGATAATCCTAAATTTAATGAAGATATAAAATCTAAATTGTTGTATCTTATGTTAATAATAAAAGAATATTTGCCCTCAATCACAAACCTGAATTTTACAAAGAGAAAGAATACCAGATAGTTAGAACTTGTATTTGAGTCCTCTATTTTTTGAATTAGATCAAATTCGATTCATTTGATTATAAAATACTATAAAATTTATTTTCTTCTAAAAGAACAAAAAAAAAAATACAAAATCGAAAAAGAAAATAAATGTTTTTATTCAATAACTTACAACAAAATTTTAATCAAGTATAATGTATTTTAGGATGGATTTAGGCAATCATTTTAACTTAAGGAATGATTATAAAATTGGTGATGATCTTATTAATCATCAATATACACAAGTTATGAAATTCTGAAATCTTTATTAATCATAGAAAGCTACGATGAGATGAAATTTGATTGCATTTATTTTATAGCAAATAAATAGAAAGATGTTGATTAACTTATAATAAAACTATTAGCTATTGATTTTTTTATCAAGTACTAACAGATTAAATGATCTTATTGAAAAAAGAGTTTTCTAATTTGAGGGGTTTATAAAAAAGATAGCAGTAATTTTAAAATGTGAATTTGAGATTCTAAGAGTCTAATTGTGTAAAAGACACCTTAAAAAAATAATGTTTAAAGTTGAAGCTTATTTACAAAAAAATAAATCTAAATTTTATACATTTATAGTTTATATTGTTTTGATAACTATCATGTTTAAGTTTTCTGTATTATTGATATACATATTAAAGGGATTAATCTTAATTGTCTAACTAAGAAATGAGTGGTTCTTAGTCAATTTGTACACTTGAGGAAGTGAATGAATTTTAAAGGATATAGAATGAATGAGAGAAATAAAGCTCATCATATTCTTGTTTTGGGGTTTTCTATTAGAAGTGTGCGATATAAATTTCGAAGTAAAAAATTGTATTGATCTCGATATTTTTCAGCTATGATTCCATTTAATACAACTTGAAGAATATCCACATATACTATACCATATAGATAATTAAAAAAAGAATCTTCCTTTTGTATCCAAAATTAAAAATAGTTAGGTTTTTTTGAAATTTTTTGTAAATTAGTATTGGAAGGACTCTTTGAATTTAATTAATTTTCTTTATAGAATTTTGTTTGGTCAATAGAGAAATCGAGTAATAAGCAAAACTTTGACTACCATTCGAATATAATATTATCCAGTTTTAGTTATTGCCTTACATTTCTATAATGACAGTTAGGTAAAATAGAAGAAGCAGATATTTTACTGCAGATTTCGAAGATTATAAAAATAATTTCCTAACCATGCCTAGAACTAAAATTACGAAAGAAAATTATCAGGTAAATTTACTTTAAAAATTTTTAAATTAATATAAGAATGCATCTGATATTTATCAAAATTTATTTTATATTTAGAATATCTAGCGTTTTACAATAACAATAAAAAGACCTTAAGAGCCAACCTTATATGCAATTGAGAAGAAGCTTGATATAAAATAACTTAGTTGAAATCGTTGCTTTGCTATTATTTGATAAATATATATAAAAATAAAATTTCTACAAAAGATTATTTTAAATAGACTTAATCTATTTTATTCATTAATACCTGACATTTATAAAATAATATATTTTGTAGACTGCATTCATTTTAATTGCTTAATTTCTTCAATTAATGGCAAAAAATATTAATTTTAGATGAGATTTTAATTACATGTGAGAAGATTTTTTTTAAATTAGAGAGACTTTAAATTAGCATTCCTAAGTATTAAAGAATGATATAATATCTTATTAATTATTTCAATTATCTTTCATTTTTCACTTGTACTTGTCGATAACATGTAATAGTAATTGTCTCTTGTATATAAAATTGAATGTACATAATGTTTACCTCTAATGGTACAACTACTAGGAAATAATATGAAAAACCTTGTAATTTTTGTAATTCAGCAAATGGCTTCTTTATTAATGGTAGTAACTAATATTAAGCATATTCAACTCTAGATTATATAAGACTTTCTGGAGATATATGTAATGATTGTATAAATGAATTGTTTGACAATAACTCATGTTCTTAATTTCAATTACTTTGTGATGCTTATAAATCAACTAGACCAACACAATGGTAATCTTGTGTTACTAGATTTTCCATTTAAGGTAATGATTGGAAATAATCCTTTTTTCCATTTAAATCTTATATAACAGATGGCAAATCATTTTTTAAGTTTGCTTAGCAAGTTTAACTTGATAATAGTAATGAATACTAAGCTTGAAATGCTAATAATGTTTCTTGTTCTAATTAATATGCTTCATATTGTGGATCATGTTAAATTGGTTATTATTTAAAGAGTAATTAATGAAAAAATCGTGATGCTTCTAGTTCAAGCTGATGGATATTATCCTATATTATCATTACCTGTTACTTGCACTAAATATCCTGATGCTAACACTTCTACAGGATGTATAGTTGGATTAATTATAAATGGTTCAAGTTACAAAGCTCTGCCTGAAATCCTAAAGCGAGTACTTGTACAACTTGTTTAATTGGATTTTATCAAACTCTTCTAACTTTTACAAAATGTATAACTAAGTGTCTAAAGGGTGGATCTGCTATTGTATACCGTGTCAATTGTCCAGAGATTATGCCATTTGTAATTTTTTAGTTGAGTTCAAAACTTGTCTTACTTGTAAATCTTAAAATTAATTACCAGATTTACCAAATGCTAAATTTGTAAATCATGAGATGAATACAGTACAAATTGTATTTCAAATTATTCTTCAATAGGAAAATGTGAAGATAACAGAAGATATTTAAATGCCTCTAATTATAGAAAATATCCTAGAAATGCAATTAATTGTACCTCATAATGTGTTGATTGCTTGTATGGAGCTAATTGCACACTAAATTGTGATCTAAATCCTTGAAATATGGTACAAGTGCAACTTAATGTATTATTGGCTTTTTAGAGCAAATTGTCATTATCAATGTGACCAGACCTATATATATGGTACAGTTGAAGCTAATTTATTTTCTTCCTGCTATAGTGTTTTTTATTTGGAAGGAAGAGGAGCACCTACAATTTGTGGAAATAATTTTAACATGTTCTAATAACACAGCTTGTTTCTCTGTATTTGAGGATACTTTTTCGAATCTTTGTAATACATTCACAAGTAATACTTAGACTAACTATATTGCAGGCTATTAGTAATTGATGCACTAAATGTTTATGGCTATGCTTAGAGTTTTCAGCTGCTTTAAATGCATGCGCTAAATACTTTAAAGGGTATAATTTAAATGGAAATAGTTGTGAATTTGTTGCAACTAATGGAACTACTTCTTCAGGTATGATACATATTATAATCTATTTTAAAGAAATGGTAATATTTGTTCAAAATGTCCAAATTTTTGCGGTATTTGCTACTTTTGGTCTTTATCTATCAGGTTTTTATGAAAATGGATCCAAAACATGTCACAATATGTTAAAGGAAGTATTGCATGCGATAGTGATACTTTTTTCTCATTATACATATGTAAATTCTATTAATAAGTTAATGATGTCTGTTAAATATGTCCTTAAAAATGCCTAAAATGCAATGATGGTTCTACATGCTAAGAATGTATAGTAATTGTAAATGTACATCTTGTATAATTGAATATTATTAAAAACCTGATGGATCCTGTTAATATTGTATAACTGCATGTTCTGCTTATTGTGCATGGATACATCTTATACATGTTAAGCAGATTATTATTAGAATAATTGAGCAAAATAATTTAATCTTAAAGAGGTTGCAATGTTGATGATTCCACTTAATGCACTTCTTATGTTGCATGATATTATCAATAATTTTCATCTCCTTTTCTGTCTTGTAATGATGCTAGTGGAACTTGTAAAGATTGTTTAGATGGATACTGTTTTAATTCTCCTAATTGTACTCCATTTTTAATCATAGCCTTAGATGTAAGGGAATTGATATTAATTGTTAAGTTTGTGAAGATAGTTACTATGTAAATGGATATAATTGTTCAACCTAATAATGGATGTTAAAAATGTGAAATAGATACAGAGGATTCAAAATTAAAATTAAGTAATTGTTTTACAGAATTTTTATTGATATAGCAAATAATAAAGGTTTTCATCCTTGTGATAATGCTTGTGAAGTTTATGCTACAGAATCAAAAGTTTGATAAGTGTATTAAATGTAATTTTAATGTTCTAAATGAACAGATCTTAATACTTGTTCAGAATGGTCAAATGAATATTAATTAAAAATGGTAATATATGAACATTATGCAATTTATATTACAATTATTGTAATACTACATTCTTAAAAAATGATAATATTACTTGCACACTTTGTTCACATAATTTTTTAACTTGTATAACCTCTAGTCCTAATTGCGTTTTTTATATTGAAGGATATTATGGTAGATCAAATTGCTCAATTTAAAGTAGTAATTAATGCTTTTATTGTTCAAAAAAGGTACTTGCTAAAAATGTTGACCAGGATTTTATTTGGATAATTCAAATAATTGTTACCCATGTAGTAATTGTTTTTATTACTTTTCTAATAATAGTTCTACATATGTAAACATTGTTAGGAAGGATATTTCTTAAATAATAATTCTTACAGTTAATGTGTAGATCCTATAATGATTTAGTATATCATTTTGATACTAATTCTAATTTTTTTGCTTTTGCGCGTATTATATAAATTATGTAGGAAAAATTTTATATGTTTATAATTTTAGTAAATGGAATTCAGATATTAAGATTATATATATTTTATCATTCAATTGCTTTATATATATAGTTACTCAAAAATATTTTCTATTTGTGTTGTTGGGTATGATAGATATAAGATATTAGATAATGATTCTAAATTACAATTCAATGTTAAAAATATCACCTTAATTGTTTTTTATACTTTAATAGTTTCATTAAAACCAACAATTACTTAACAATAATATTCAGCAATTTTGACTAGTTAACTTACAAAACAATGGATTCTTTCAATGTAGTTATTCGTTAAAATTAAGTACTTCTCATATGATTTATGTAGCAAAATTAGTACAAATGTTATGTTAATATAAACCACTTATTTTCTTCCTCCTATAGATTTCATCAATATTTAATGATTAGGATGATGATTTCGATTTTTGTTATTTTAAGCGAAATATATTTATCTATCGATTTGTTAACATATTTACTTTATTATAATCTCACCTTTCAATATCATTTAATTTTAATCTTTGAAAATAAAATAGATACTTCCAAGTTATTTGTTTATTTTAGTTTCCAGGAGGTATCCACAATAATTGGTCTCACTTTAGCCATTACTATACCTTTATTGTATATAGCACCTTGGTCGTATCAATTTTATTTCTACTCTAAGATTCCTGATGGATTTTTTCAGAAACTCAATTTTGTGTAGTATGAAACATATGAAAGGATGTTTTGATCCTAATATTTCATAAAATACAATTTACATCTAATCAATATTTAAAACAAAATTAAATATATTTAAATTCTGTCAGGCCTGCCTAATTCAATATCTTTTACAAATGTGAAATGGAGATGGGATATTTTATAATTACTATTATTTATATTTATGCTGGGTTCTACTCACATACTTTAATAAATTTTGAATAAATTATATTTATATCTGTTTGGATGTCTCTATAGTGATGTTTAATATAAATTTCTTGGAAAAAAATATTTATATTTCAATTTTAATACTGCTTCTATATTTTTTATGGCTATTCAAAATCTCTATAATATATTTGAGCTCAATCCAACGATTTGTTCAATTCTTTTGAGAAACTTTGATGTTGGTCTGTACTATGATAATTATTTAAGAAACATTCTCAATATAAGCTATTTAAACTAAAAATTTAAATTCCTTATTTATGATTATTATTTAACAAACAAAATATGAGTTATGTTTGTTATAAATGCAATCATTAATAGAGGAATATTTGACTATTAATTGAATGATAATTAAAAACCTTATTGGTGTGTAAATTCTAATTATGAATAGGAGATATGAATAATAAAAAGATCAATTAACTCTTCTCTAAAAACTTTAATTTAGGAAATTGTTTATATTATTATTGAATACTGATGTAACTGAATAGTGTAAAATTAAGAAGAGTCACTCACTCTAGTTATGATTCTTTTCTGTTATCAATAAACCTTTTGCCATCTTTCAAATTATAATAAAATTTAAAAGGTGCCTAATAATCTCAGAATGCTTTAACTTTGATTACTTTTCTTGATTTACACATATCAGAAAACCAAGCAAGGAATAGAATTCTAGATAAAGATCATCAAAGATTTTTCCTTAATTTGATCCTGATTTTTTTATAATGTAAAATTTATTATTCTAAAAAAAGACTTAAATATTCTTAATTGATTTTTTAATATTTTACCAAGGAAGAAAAAGGCTTAGGAATTTATATCATAAAAAAAATTATTAATACTAATATATAGGATTTTTATTCATCATAAATTGAAAGTAAATGGAAAAATCATATAAGGAGGAGAAATTCCATAATCAATATGAAGAGTTCCTAAGAAATTTACAGATGAGAATAATTGGATTTAGTTTTTAAAAAAATTGAATGGATGATAATCCTTGTAAAATAGATTAACTTAAAGAAGTGATATTTAAATATAATCAGATGGAAGTAGAACTCAAAACTTAAATTCCTGATATTGTAGAAGTTTCAATATTTTAAGTTTAATGAAAAGAAATAAAAAAGTATCTATGTGAAAATTAATCAATAATCAGCAAATTATTCATTGATATGATAGCAACAAGAGCAAGAAAGAAAGAAGATTATGCAAAGACAATTAGAGAATATAGAGTAAATTAAAGAGAATCCTAATATTGAGAAATTTAAGATATCAAAGAATTTATTAAAAAAAAATTTCCTAATGTAGTTGACAAATTAAAAGTGTAAACTTAGAAATGCTTGATATATATAAAATATTGGATGAATTTAGTTATTGCAGATTTTAAAAAGAAGATTTAGATAGAAAATGATGTTTATTTAGACATTCCATAGATACTTTTGATTATTTGCAAAAAGATAAAAGGATATGTAAAAAGAAAAAGTTAAACTTTAAAATTAAATGAAAAAATTTGGAAGACCCTAAAATTGGATTAACTGCCTAAGATGCTTATAAATACTTAGCAGAGTTCGAAAATTTATCATATAAGTTTAATTCTGCAGATTTTCAAAGAAAAAACTCTAAGGTGTTTTAAGGATTGCAATTTCAGTTAATAACAAATTGAAGAGTTTAAACCAAAGGTTTTATTGGTTGCACTTTGTAAAAAAAAATGGAGTAGGGACGCTGGTTAGAATTGAAAAATAGAATCGGAATTGTTAAACCTTTATCAGAAAGCGCGAAACAATTATAAATGGGTTTAATGTAAAATGTTGATTTTTGTGTTGAAGTTGGAGAAAAGGCGTAAAAAAATATATGATAGAAACAATGTTAAATTAGATATTGTAAGTAACATACCAATAATCTCAGCAATTTTAAACACCTTAAAGAAATGCAAAATATGGATGTTTTAAAAAATATTAGTACTGCTCTGTGATCTTAACCAAATACAAGAGTTAAAGCTTAGTTGGAAGAAGAGTTTGAAAAGATTAGGATATATAGGTAGAAAGCATATAAATGGGCGTGATTGAATATATTAATAATAATAATGTTAGATTAAATAGATACTATATGAAAAGGAATTAATTTCCAGTTTGTTGCCTTATAAATCTATCACATTTATAATTTGAAATCATGATGAAATTCAATAAGTACTTGATGAAAATTTTGTAAATACATAAGCTATATTTTCTCTAATTTTAAAAGTCCGTTAGAGGATTGAATCAATAATTGGAATACTACTCTCAAAATTAAATCAGATATACTAGAGGTACGGTGTAAATTTTAACGATAATTAATGTATTGATAACCCATTTTTGATTCACCAGATATTGCAAAAAATTATGATAGGTCTATCAAATATAAAAATAAGAAATTTAAAACAGTAGATTAAATTTGGAAGCATAACCTTAAATTTATGCTTCAGTAGTGCTTAAGAAGGTTTATTGGAAAGATTGCAAAACAAAAATAAAAATTTAGAAATCATTTAAAAGGAACTATAATTATTTTGGAAAAGAAAAGAGTAAAATTTGCAAGAATCTGTTTTTCTTTCATTGATGATTTATTGGAAATCTTATCACAAACTAAAGAACCAACAGCAGTCTAACTACATTTAAGAAGAGTACTTCTTACTAATTCAACCAATTTTTGATTTAGGTTTTCAATGTCTTCTCTCAATATTCCATAACACCATAACACTATCGCATTTTATAGCTTGTTCTACTTCTTTAGTCTATAAGATTTAGGGAATCATTTAAAATACATCATAAGAATTAATTATACCTATTTATGTATTGGTTTTACTTGATAATCTGAAATATTATTTACTAATGCCTATCACATACTTAATTTCATCATATTCTTAACTTCTCTTAACTAATCTTCCATAAACATTGCATGAATCTTTTTGCACCATTAAATTCATTTGAATTGATAGTTTCAACTAAACTAACAAAGTAATAACAAACTGCTATAAATGCATTAATTGTTATTAATGTTCCTGCAAAAGATGTTGTTGTAAAATTATTTAATGGAAATGTTACTGATTTTAGTGCTTTTGAAATTTTATTATTGAGAAAATATTTCTTTGTAAAGTGTGATTAAAAAAATTTCCTTAAAATTCTGAGGATGCTTCAGCAAGATTAGTTGGTATTGGGAAAACAAAATCAACCAAAGATTTAACAAAATAATGTTTTGTATTTAATTGGTCTGATTCTATGGATTATTTAATTGTTGGTAAATTCTATAAAGGTTTGGCAAACGCTGGTGCATGGTATTGCTTTGATGAATTTAATAGAATTAATATTGAAGTATTGTCTGTGATTGCATAATAACTATTAGTGTTTGAAGGGTCAGTTTATGCTATAGTCTACATGGAACTAGAAGCTATAAGATATTAAGTATTAATTGATTTTTGGATAAATAAATTACGAGAAACTATTTTAGCTAAAAGTAAAATAATAACAAATAAATTAATAAATTACTTTAAATAATATTTAGATCCAAGTATTGAATTCTGAAGAAAATCTATAATTGAGATTATTACTACCTCCAAAAATAATTTAGTCTAAACTTTAAAGAAAATTTTAGATTGCATTTTTGCCATAATTTTTAGATACAGAGCTAACAATTTATGGTAGAAGAGATGGAGCTATTGGAAGTATACTTAGAGATGTTATTCCCTTGTTAATTGATGAAACAAGTAATAATAGATATAGAATTAATGAAACCTTAGAAGCTTTAGAAAAATTTGATAAACCAAATTGATGAAGTTTACCTTGATGTTAAATACAATTGATTTCATGGAATCAATTGAATCAAAATTTTAGTATAATTAACATTACATGAAATTATGAATCTTACTGCAGATTCAATTAGAAATATATATTTATTTAAATTACTCTTGTTAAATAACAATAATAATCATAAACATAAACCTGGTCTTATTAAAATATCATTTATCAATATATTAAGATTATTATTATTTCTGTTAACTTGATTATCTAGTGACTTTAGTTTTTTAACTAATTTTGGATTTAGTATCACTAATATTTTTATCAAGACTTATTTATTTAAGAATCAGTTTCTTTGTAATTAGACCTTTTGATAATTTTATTAGGATTTTCTGTTATTATATTTAAATATCATACCTTCAGGTTTTGGAATTGAAGGTACTTTAATTCCTATAACACCTTAAGGATAATTTTAAAGAAATTTTTCAATACCACCACTCAAAAGATAAACATTTTCAAATCCTTTTTCAGCAAAAAGTGTTGCTGATGGAATTCCATTCTTTTCATCAAAATGATAAATAATTATATGTTTGTCTTTTTAGTTTTTCTACATGAATATTTAAATATACAAATCTATGAATTTATTAAGTTAATTTGTCTTATCTTAGATTTGGAGCAGGAAAATTGATTGCTTCTTTTATATGATAAAGTTCAAATTCATCTGGATCTCTCAAATCTAAAAGTAGAAATTCTGATTAATCTGTAATTCCCAATTATTCTGTAGCATATGTAATTGCAGAAACTTAAGATACTTCAGTAAATCTAGTCTTTTAACTGTATTAACTTTATGTATCAAATTGTTGAAATTGATCTTATTCTTATTGTTATTAATCTGCTAATTTATAAATTGTTTCTTATTCTGTATTTTCCTTTCATAATATATAAAATATACGCTAATAAAGTTAAATACAGTTGAACACTTGATACGTTTAAATAATTCAGACCTTTTTTTAGCTATTTTTGAATTACTTACTACTTCAATGTCTCTCACAGTTGGTCCTGTATTTAATGTTTGTTTAACATGATCATATTATTTGTTTTTTGGTACTTTTTATCAAGAGGCTTAAGAATTAAAATTCATATATACATTTCCTTTCCCTTTAACATAACCAATAGGCAATTTGTCCATATTAATTAATTCAAATAATCTGTTAACTAATATAATAAATTTAATGAAAATATATTAATAATTTTAAGAATAACTGTTTATATGTAGAATATCTCTTATTTGTAGAAATGATAATTTATATAGCAAAAAAAAAAAAAATAAATTCAAAATAATCATTAATACTTTTTTAGTATTTAAATTAATGATAATTCTTTTATAGGTTTAACTAAAAAGTCAGCCATTCCAGAATTGATACATTTTTCATATTCTGATTGATCTATATAACCACTACAACCAATAATAATTTAATTTGGAAAGCTTTGCTGGATAATTTTAGATGTTTATTATCCATTCATTATAGGCATTTCAATATCCATAAAAACAATTTTATAACCTTAACAAGTACTACCACACTATTTTGATTTGATTTTTTCTATCGATTCTTTGCCTGATAAAGCTTAATCAATATCAAATTCACTTAAAAACAAGTATTTTTTATTTTTATACAATTCTTATAGCATTCCTTTAAATACAAAGATATTAAAACAATCATCATCAACTACCAGATAATGAAGACAAATTTATTATTTTGATTAATCTTCTTTTATATTTGAAGGTAATTTGTAAATACTAGTAATTTCATCAACTTCTTAAGGCTATACTGATATTTCACGTACTCTATAACTTAAAATTTTCTTTTTCAAAAATAAATCAATTTACATATCAAAATATAAAATGGCAATAATGATTATTCTTTTCATTTTTTGAATCTATATTAAGTTTGAGAATGCTTTAAATAAATTTAATTAATCTTCTTCTGAAATTCCAATTCCTTCATCTCTCACTCCAATCCTTAGAGTATTTGAACTGATCATCTCAAGAATTATTATTATTTTTCCACTTTAAGTAAATTTGAAAGCATTGCTCAATAAATTTATAATAATTTATTTAATTCTATTCCTATCAGAATACAGAGATTATGGAACAAAAGTATTGTAATTTATATTTAATTCAACTCCTCTTAATTTAGCTTTCAATTCAAACATTTTTTGACATTCTTCAATTAATATTTATAAATTAAAATGTACTTTTTCTACTTTAAATTTTCCATTTTTTATTTAAGCTAAATCTAATAAATCATTAGATAAATTTAATATATAATTTGAGTTATCTAAAGCTATTTATAATTATTCATTTATAATAGGCTCTTTTTTAACAATATTCTATTTAAGAACACATTCTAACATTTATATAATACAATTTAATGGAGAACGATATTCATGACTTACAAATGAAAGCATTTTAGACTTTTATTTATCATATTCTTTCAAATATCTTATTTTTTGTTGATGACTAACATCCCTACAAATTATGATGATATTTTAATTTTTACGTAAAGCTAATGTAAGTTCTATTAATTAATTATTTTCTGAATTAATATATGTTTATGATGTTTATATTAATTAATTTGTAAAAACTGTAAATTTTGAATTCAATTAAGTTTAAACTACAATACATTCTTATTTTTTAGATTTTAATAACATATCTATAATACATTTTATTTTGTATTTTTAATTTTTATCTTAACTCTATTATATATCTAAACTCAGATTTCTTTGCTATATTTATGCCTATTCTTTAATTTCTGTAGTTTATTTAAAAAGATATAATGATGGTTATCTTTAATACTGAGAAGTAAATGTTAATTCTTCATTTGGTTCCCCATTTACTAATTAAAATGTATTTAAACCATCAATAAATTAAAGGACTTCTTAATCTGTCTCTTTATTAAATAAATTTTTTGTAGCCTAGTTTATATATTTAATTGAATATGGAAAATTTGCAGAACTAGATTCTGGAACAAGCAAAATTACTCCCTCTTATAATAATTCTAAACATTAAATGCTTGTTTCTTAAATACTAATTTCAACAGTAATTGATGTATCTCTATGACCTAAAGAAATTGGATTTTAATCTAAATCAAATTATGAAACATTTCTTTTTGAATTTAGCATTTCTTATTTATTTGTATTAGTTATTTCTGTTAAAATCTATGGCATTTGTTGTTATTACTACTTTGATGTTTAAGAGTTTAAGTATATAGATATTGTTAAAGATATCAATAATTATGGCTATTCTCTATTCTATTCTCACATATGAATATGTTAGTAAAAATATTGAGATTATAGCTTAAAATGCAAATAATTGAGCTTTTTAACCTAATTTAAAGTCCAAAAATAGGTCTTTTATTATCATTTATGCTATTATTATTTATGAAAAGGGTATCCTACCTAAATTATGTATATTCATTATTATTAAGCAAACCATATCTATTTCTATGCATATGATAGTTCCTTACAACATGAACTTATTAAAAACATTTTATAGCAATATTAATACAAATGTAATTGAACTAATAATTATTAATTGTATCAAATTGAGGAGACAAGGACTTTGAAATTAGTTATATATTGAGTATGAGAGTATCATGCATTGTAAGAGATTGACCCTAAAGCATTTTTGATTTAACATAAATTTAATATAAATATACATTTTTTTATACTATATTTCTATTCTTCTCTTATTTTACCATTTAAATTATTTCCAAACTCTCTTTATTTTACATACCTTCATTATATGATTGATTTTACAATATTCAAATATTAAACTTAAACAATAATGTCAAATTTATTAAATTATATACATATGTTCTCCATTAAAACTTTTAATACTTAATTATTTCATTCTTTTCTTCACTATTTCTCTAAATAATATCCTATAGATATTAATTTTTTTATTTGAATGTTAACAATCATGAGTTGAATAAATATTAATATTCTTAATATTTTGCTATATTCATAATATATCACTTTTCATAAATTGAATGAGTCAAGATTAATTTTTAACTATAGAAGCATTCAATCTTAATTAAGATAATATCAAAATATTTAATAAACATTTATATTTCTAATATTCTTCATAATTTTTTAATCTAAGAAATAAAATTTAGTGCCAAAACTAATAAATTTTAGTAATATTGTTAAAAAATTTGGCGCTTTCCTATTTTTTTTTCTCTAGAAATAATTAAACTTTAAATAAGTGTCTAATGAATTGAAATATCAATTTCAAGGTTTTAATTTGATGAGGATATAGGCTCAGGATAAATTTCAGAAAATACATAGTACCAAAATAATAAATTATTTATAATAACTAAAATTGTTTGATCAAAATTATTTGATTCAGCAATAAGAATTTGTTATCAGTCATTTTAAAACAGAAAAAATAATTGTTGTTTTTTATAATTAAATTATGATTATATTTTTATATAAAATATTAGCATTTCTAATTATAGTTTTTAATTACAAATTTTTCATTGATGGCTTCATTTTGTTTTCATAAATTTGTAACATTGAAGGATTTAAGATGAAGGTACAAAAATATTAAAAAATTTGTTCATTTTTAGAAATTGATTTGCTGTAGAGCCATAAATTTGATGTTTAGTTAAAATGGGAGCGTAGAAAAGAAAGATTATTGTAAATTGCTTAGATATTACAATAATATTTTAAAGAGTATTTTGGAGTAAATATAATGATAAAAAAAAAGAATTAAATTTCATGAATGGATTTTACGTTACTTTTTAATTTAATTCATATTGTTAATATATTTTTATAATTCTCAATAATAATCCCTTTGAGTAAAAGAGAAATAGAAAAGAATGTTAGATCGAAAGATCAGATCAAGTTTTAAGAATATAAAATTGGTAATAAAATTGATATAGGGTTGAAGTTAAGAAATCAATTATTATTGTTTTTATTAATAATAATAAATCAAATTTCATATCAAACAATCTCGGTTGATTAACTGATAAAGAGATACTCTTATAATTTTGATATAAAGAGAAATACAATATCAATTCATTAGAATATTAAAGAATATATTTAACTTTAGAATAAATTTTGAAATAGATCATTCTTAAACTTGAATAAATAAAAGGTTTAATACTTAGAATCAATAGAATTACTTAATTCTATTAATTTGAAGTGCTATATTTGTTAAAACATTTTTATCTCGATTAAGTAAAATAAAGGCAAAATATAAAATAATTATACACAACCTGGATACTATTTTGAAATGATTGGTAATATTTTTCTGATGTTGGAATTTGAAATGGATAGAGAATAATTTTTAAGATATATATTTAATACTAAAAATATAAATTTATGATATGAGACATCAATACTTGAGTAAAGAATTCTTAACTATAGTCCTATTAGCCACATGACAACTCTTCTATTAGATTTTAGAGTTATAGATATAACTGACATGGTCTTTTCTCAAAAAATTATTACTAGAGTCGTTATTTAAAATCAACATACCCTAAAATCCTAAACATCTTCAAAAAGTCTTCATTATGTGTATATCTTGTTATATGGGCTATGTTCCTTAGTTTGTTTCTCAATCTGTTCATCAATTTCAGAAACTCTTGGCCTCTTATTTCTCCCAAAATTTCATAAATTAGGTTTCTTTATCGACATGCAAAAGATACAATAGCCTTTGCATAATTTTTTGGATATTGGTAGATTTCACTAAGAAATTCGGTTTTTAAGACTTTTTTTAGTGGATTTTTTTTTCTAACTTTGTCTGAAGATGTGTATCTTTAATTTCTTCTTAGTTGCTTGTTTAATCAAGTTTGCTTTCAGTTTCCAAAAAATTTTTCTTTTAAATATCTTCTATAGATCGATTAAGTTCAGAAGATGATTTATTTTCTAAAATTTGAGTTTAAGCCTATAAAGTATAATGTTATTAATTGAGAACAGAAAATGTTTATGGCATTATCAAATATTGGTATCCATAAGGATAAAGGAGTTGTTGTGGTACAAAAAAAGTATTAAAATTTGTATTAAACATATTATTATTAAATAATAAATAAACACAACCGTAAGACTTAATATTGCCGATATTAAATCAGTTTATTCACTTAAATTAAGTAATAACATTCAATAATTAATTTAATAGGATATATTTACTAGTTTCTAGTTTAAAGATCAGAGATTAATAATAAAGAATCATTAAATTTGCTTAAAAAAATAATTTTAATATCATAATTATAATTAAAATCCAAATAAATTAAAAGTTTAATGTATTAGAAACATTAAATTGTTCTAAACTAATTATATTTTTAAACAAATGTGAAATTATATAAAAAAAAGAAGCTTAATGAAGAAATTGATTCAGAAATTTTAATAAAAATAATTTCTATAATTAAGGAATTTATAATGTTTAAAAAGAAAGAAGTAATTCAAATACTAGAATTAAGGGCAGAACCTTTAAAGAAAATTTAATTATAATTAAGTGAAGAATTATACGAGTCAAAGTTTATTTTTAATATCAATGTATGAAATTAGATTAGATTGATAGAAAATGTAATGGAAATTAAAAAGAGAAGTAACTGGAGATAATTAAAAAGTATCAGAAATTAATTCAAAAATTTCATAATTAAAGGAATAAAGTAAATCTCAAATAAAAGAGGAATTATTGAAATTAACTTAAGATGTTGTGAGTTTAGAATAATAAAAAGTGAATCAGATAAAGAATATTAGAAAGTTAGTTGATGATAAAGAATTAGCAGAGAGAAAATAAAAGGAGATGAAAAAATTGTTTTTATAATCATAAATTCGTAATGAGTAATTAAGAGGAAGATAGATTTAAAAATTTAATATTGAATTGATAGTAGTAAAAAAATTAATTAATCAATTGTATTATTAATATCTTAATAGTTATTATTCTTTTTCTTATAAACTTCTAGACATAACTAATAAGAGATTTTAAAGGTCTCTAATTTATGGATTATCTTTAATGTTCCTTTTATAATTTTCAAGTTCTCGATGTAATCTTTCAATTTCTAAATCTTTAATTTCTAAATATTCCATAGCTTCTTTTAATTCATCTTCTTTATTGCTGTTTTATTACATGTGTAATTTAATTTCATCAATTTAATTGAAAACTTCTATTAATTATTAATCTTTAGTTGACAATTCATTTGTCAATTCTTTTATTTTCTTTTAGGTTTATAATAACTATTATTTAAGTAATGAATTATTGTGAGTTAATTCTTGTATTTCAAGAGTTAACGTTTCATAACATTTTGTCGGTTTTTTCTGAGATCCACTATTTTTTCTGCTTAGTTTTTATAATTCTTATTCATATGTTCTATTCATATTTTGAGCCATTTGCAAATTGATATCTTTATTTTTCAGTTAATCATTAAGACTTGATAATTCACTTCTCTTTGATGTCAATTCTTTTTGAGATTTTTATAATTATTTTTAATATTCTTTAACTTATTAGTCTTTTTTGATTTGATCAACATTTTTAATTATCTAAGATTTTATTAATTATAAATATTATAATATATATAAATTATTTATTAATTCAATAATACTTATAATTCGTCAACACTTTATTAGTAATCTATGAGTTAGGCTTTAATACTCTAAGATTAAATAAGTTAAGGTACCTCAAATAATTAATCAAAAGAGATGTTATTGTTCAATAATGATTTATGAAGATCACTCATTTAATTAAATATTAAATCAATCATGCCATTACATTCTTTTACCATTTATCCATAATCCTTTCCTCGTACCTTACTAAGAATTAGTATATTCTCCATTTCCGTGCTATTTACCGTACTCCCATTAACCAGAATATTATCGAGAATCAGCTAACTAAATTACTATTATGATTACGCCATCTGAGTGTTCCAAAACCATGCTTTTTATCATTTTTATATTCACCATCATATAAAGTTCCATCTGCCCATGTCATTTTACCTTTTCCATCCATCTAATCTTTTAACCATTCACCTTCATATCTTCTACCATCGTGCCATGTATAAGTACTACAATCTCTAAATTTTATATTACCCTATTCCATTAAATTAATTGTTTTTAAACTAACCTTCATAAAGAGAACCATCAGAAAATTTATAAACACCATATCCTTCACGTTTTCCTAATTTAAATAAACCTGTATAACTAGATTAATCAGAGAACAGTTCAAATCCTTATCCATGCTATAAGTTTTCAAACCAATCTCCTTTATACATAGCTCCATCTCCGTGATAATATTCACCATATCCATGATGTTAATCATCACACCATTAACCTATGTAATAATCACCATCTGGATAAATCATTCTACCCTTTCCATTAGCCATTCCTCGAGAAAATTAGCCTTCATAAATTGATCCATTTTTCATGATTTAAACTCCTTTTAATTTAATAACTGAATTTTACCTTTTCCATTTTTTTGAGCATTTAACCATCCTCCTTAATACAAACTTCCATTACTTAATTCGTAAAATCTAATCTTTTTCTTTTCTTTAAATGATTTAATCTAAATACTAAATTAAGAAAAATACTTAGCTGATTTATTTTCCATTATAACTCCTGTATTTCCAAACAGTTATGATTAAAATTATTCATATGTTCTAATTACCTTTTATAATTGTCCATTTCTAATTAATTTTAGCTTATCTATTGCTCTAATTATCTAATTTATTACTCATTAATTACCTTGATTTTGATTAATAGTGTAGTAGAATTTATTCATAGTCTTTTATTTTATCATTTAAATTAGATATTTAAGTTTCAAATAAGGCCTTTTCTGCATTAGATAACATATGATGGCTATCCTCTTAGATTTATCTTTATTCTAAACGTTCTCTCATTTCAGAGATCTCCTACCATAATATTTGGTATCTTGAACTTGCCTATTATAATTCATTTTGTTAAGATTACACCTATTATATATAAGTATGATTTCCTTCAACCTCTTCATCAAGAAGATTTCGAAATTTTTCAATATCATTTTTTAATTTATCATCTTCATCTTAATTATCTTAATACATTTAATATATAAATCATAACAAATATTATTCTTTTATCTTAAAATTATAATATTAATAAGAATATTATGAATGTTTTTAAAATTTATTTTACTTACTGTTCTCTTTCATTTTGCAATTTTTCTAAACGTTATCTAGCATTAATAAATTTATTATCTTAAGTTATAGATCGAACAGTTCTATATGGTTTTGATCTATATTCTTCATATCTATTTGTATTTGTTAATTTTTTAGATTCACTGCTAGATATGTGGTTTATTTGTAATGATTTCTTTTTTGATTTAATTTAATTTTTAGTTTTTATCTATTATTCTTTATATGTTATATTTTTAAGTTTGTAATAAATTTATGTAAGCCTATTTTATTCTTATTCTTCCTTTGTTTTATTTGACTTCTCAAGATGTTTATGAATCTAATCATTTACAATATATATATACTATTAAATCTTATCCATGTAATCGTTATCGAATATTGTCTAAACATTACGATTTTCTTTGAGATGCAGCATCCATACTTTTATTTAGTTTTCTAAAAAATTCAAACTATTATATACATTTATAATGTACTTCATCTAAATTTTTAGGCTCTACCAACTTTATAATTGGAGTTTCTTAAATTGTAACTACTTTTTTTTTATGAAATTTTCTATGGAACTTACTCAATTAATTCAACTTTAGCTGAGAGTTCTTCTTTGATTTCTTTAATTTCTTCTTAAACAGACATCTTTCTAGGTTTTCTTCTTAAATTCTTTTTTTTTAACTTATTTGTTAATGCCATCAATTGAGTTTCTTTATTTTTTACACTTTCTATCATTGATTAAGATAATTTATCATTCAACTTTTATAGTTTTGTTCTTAAATCAGCTTATAACTTCTTTTTGTTTTCATGAATGGATTCTAACTTTAAAACATTCTATTTTGCTCTTTACATTTATTCTTCAAATTTTAACAAATCTCTTACCTTACAAAGGGTTTACATAAGATCCACTATTAACTTCCTTCAAGGCAGTTCTCGAGTCCTATATATTAAATTTTATGTACTTTGAAGTTCTTTTGTATAAGGTAATAAAATATTTTACATAAAATATTCAAATCTATATGTATTGATTAAAATTGAAGATATATACCTTATAAAATTTACAAAAATGATGTTAAACATATTAATATTCATATTAAGATCAAATAACTTTTAATAATATCATGATTAATCAATATATTATTTAATGCAGAAATGAAAAAATATTTTAAATTTTTAATTGAATTTGCTATTAAAATTATAATAAAAAGTATATACTAAAATCAAAAATTTTATTCTTGACAAATATTATAAAATAAATGTTGATTTTTTAATGAACAAAATGAAGATTGATTACTTGAAATGTTAAGTGAATTTTATTAATAATGGATTAAAGTAAAAAAAATATATTAAAATACAATAAATAATTCTATAGTCCCAAAGTGAAAACTAAGTTTTTTATTTTATAGGGATGTCTTTGAAGTGAGAATTGGTAATATTATACATATCAGTAATGATAGATGTTAATAAATTAATAAAATAATTGAAATCAGATAAATTATTCCATTTTCTATTAACAATATCAAATTTTTATTAATTTTATACAATCAACAGCATCGGTTTTTTTTTGAAGATGCAATTATTTACTTATTAAATTAATTATAATTCTTATGTTAATTATTGTTAATTGATGAAAAATGCTCTTTGTTTGACTACTTGACAAATTAATTGTCGAGAATGTTTATTAAATATTTTTAGATCTAAGGTACACTATTAAATTCATAATTTGCCATAATTAACAATAATATTTGATTGACAGCGCTAAATTAAATAAAAAAAAATACCTCAAATCTGCAATTGAGATAGTTTTATTGTTGTAGATGTATTTATATTTTCCTTCATTAAGAAAAACTTTAACAAAAAATAATAACAATTAATCTATATTTTTTTATTTTTTTATTTTTCTTTTAATTCTTATTAATTCTAATTATTTTATGAAATCATGACATATTCTGTGATTTATTTCATTTCATTAAGATGAAAATCTAGATAACTGTCGATTTAAGCTTTAAGTTTTAAATTATCTTAAGGGTAGAAATCAGATAGCCTATATTATTCACAAATATATTTTAAAATAGCATGACTTTCAAACAATGTAAATGAACCTTATTTGATAGATGGAACTGTTTGATTAGGATTTATTAGAGAATATTGATCTGATTTATTTTCAGATTTCAGAATATCTATAATTTTTTCATTAAACTCAATTTTTGCCAATAATAATAGTGATCTAACAGCTCTTGAGGGTGATGAAAGTGGGTGAAAATATAGAGTAATTTATTCTAATTTAGGTGATTTATTCAATATTGATTAAATGAACTGATTTTTATATTTTTGTTACTTTATAAAATAAAAATAATCCTAATGTGATAGATATAATTCTGGTATTTTAAACATTCTTGAAATATATTGTTCTAATATGGGAAACTTTTCGAAATCGAAATTACAAATAAATAATGATGTCAAATCACATACCGCTCTAAAATTATAAAACTGATTACCTAATATCTGCAATAGTGAGTCAAAAACATAATTAAATTTGCCATCATTTAAGAAAGTTTTGATGAAAAATTGCAAAACCTCCTCTACATCGACTAATATTGAAACTCTATTTGAAGGAACTTTATATCCTATTAACAAAGGTTTCAAATAACATTCTTTAGAGTAATCTAAAACTCTAGGAAATTCATTTTAATGCCAATCTAAATATGAATCTACTTGAGCTTTATCTTATAATGACTTAATAATATATAATTAATTCTTTTTACATCAGGATATAATCTAAATTCAGGTTTGTTTCTGCAAAAATTTCAAATAAACTAAAAAATTCTTTGGTAATTGCTGGCACAGTTTGATTAGGATTAATATTAGTAAAAGCTTGCTTGAGATTTTCTCCTTTAAGTACATCAATTATCTTTTCATTAAAATCATAATTAGTTAATAATAAGATAGTCTTCACAGATAAACATCGATGTGAATAAGAATTAAAATAAAGGGTTATAGACATTGATAATTAAATTTAATATTGAATAGTTCTTATACAGTGAACTTAAATAGTTAAAAATATATAATTATTTATAATGAATATTAATCATTGAGTAACGATATTAGGAGGGTAAAAAGAATTGAAAAGAATAAAGAAGATT